CCCCAAAACCCCAAAACCCCGAGATGTGAAAATTTGGTCTATAACTGGAATATAAATTTGCAAGTGTAATTAAGGATTAGTATTTAATAACTTAAGGTTAATTTTTATATGGAGCACAACGTACATCTGATAATCAAAGATACTCTAGAGAGATATAGGATATAAGAAAGTTTGGGACAGGGAAGCTAAGGAACCGTCTACATAGCAGAAGATTTGGAGGACCCAGAGCGAAAACTTGTTGCACTAAAGCAGCAAGAATTAGATGAAATGCTTAAAACAATTAAGGCTTCCATTCTGAGAGAACATGAATGTATTAAATGCCAAAAATGTGATAGATGCAACTATTGTTGAGAATGCGGTACCTGCTAGCATAAACTTCAGCCAGTACAAAACTTTAGACAATAAAATTAGCAAGTAAACGGACCAAAAGAAATCTTAACTAAAGAAATACTTCGCTTTCAAAGAGAAATCTAATCAGTCCAGCTCAGACATCTTAATATAGTTGAGGTCTATGACTCATTTCTCTCAACTGAAAACAGATTCATTACCATCAGTGAATTAGGTGAAAAAGATCTCTAAACATTTGTAGAAAATCGATTCAACAGCTAGATTAGGCTATCAAATTAAGAAATTTCAATGATTTTAATTCAGATATCAACGGGCCTTGAGTATATACATGATCAAAACTTCATCCATAGAGATATCTCTCCATAAAATACTATCTTTGTACAGGATTAACAAAATACAAAGGGAGATCAATCATCAATAATTTGAGAGAACAATAGCCTATTATCTTGCCTTAAGAGCACTAATAATTCTAGAAAATATTTGATTTAATGATAGAGTTGAATCCTTAAAATAGACCCTCAGCCACTTAACTTAAAGATGAATTTATGAAACTTATTGATTAAAGTGATAATTCCTTTAAAAAATATCAAACTTTGCTTTGACACATTTGATAAACTAGCACAGATTAAAGATATAAAAGTCATATGAAGACTTTGAAATATAACTTAAAAGAAATTTTAAAAGAGAACTTATTTTAAAAAATAGTGATTTATTGGATTCTTTGTAAAAAATCTCTGAGGAATTTGATAAATACAAGCTTTTGGTAAGATCATATATGATTGAAGAAGAGAAAGAAAGTATTAGTTCTATTTAGAATTTATAGAATAAAATCTAGCAATGGAATACTTATGACTTAAGTAACCACTCATTTAATCCTTAAATTCATAAAACATATCAAGAAATAACTGATATATATGTAGGTAAAGAATTTACCAGAATATTTAAAGTAGGAGACAAATATTTGACAGGTCATTGGGAATAATAGTGTAGAGTATTAGACTAAGATCTAAAACTAATCACAACATTAGATTGAAATGTAAATTATTTACATGATCAGAATGGTAATGTGTTGCTTAGTCATGATAATAAAATAAGTAAACTAATAGGATTAGATAAATAATAGCCATCAGTTTAAAAAGATATTTATTAGGGTAGAGATCGTATATTTAAAATATTGAAAATGAGTGATGATATATTTATTACTGGATAGATGGGTGGATATATTGAGTTATTTAGTCTTTCAAATCACTAATTCAGATCTACATTCTAAACTAAAGATTTAAAAAATATTTATGAAATATGTTTAATTGAATGGAATTAAGATGATTATACATTTGCTTATGGTACTTTTGAGGGTGGTATTGTAATTGGTAAAATAATAATGAAGAGCTAATTTGAGTATTAATTCTAAGAGAATGAAAATAAATTAATAGAGAATTATGATTGTTTTTCTATGATGCTAATTAAGTAGAATGTTATAGCTGCTACTTTTATATAGTATGTTAATAAAGCTGAATAATACTTTTTAAAGATATTAGATGTTAAAAGTAGAAAAGAACTACTTTCTATTGATTTAAATTATGATAGTTATATCTATGCAGCATTAGTTTATGACTATGATAAATATCCTTTTGCTTTCCTTAAAAGCAACAAGTACATTTCACTCATTAATATGAGTAACTATCAAATCATTATGGTCATTCGACATTATTTTAGTTAATTGGAATACTAATAATTGATATAAGAGAGAGATAAGGATAATAAATATAAATTGATTGACATTTAGTTCTATAAGAAAGATAAGAAATATTTGAATGAAATAAGTGAAATAGAAATCGCCATGCTTT